AGAAGGCCACTCCAGCCTGGACTTGGGCCACTGAGGGCTGCACAGTCCTTTGCACCCAGGCCCCCCACTGTGGTTCCCTCTCCCCTGCCAGGAATTATCTCTGCTTCCTCCTGCAGAAGCCCCGCGACCCAAGAGAGACGTAAGACCCCGCTGGGCCTACCTTGAGCTTCTTGACGCTGTTGCCGCTGGGCTGAACCTCCTCGGAAAGCCTCCGTTTCTGCACCTTGTTCTCGGCAGCAGCGGGGGCGCTGGTGGTGGTGGGCGTGGTGGGGGTGGGGGCCGAGGTGGTGGGGGCTGAGGTGGTGGAGGCAGCAGCAGCGGCCCCATCCCCAACTCCCCCTTCGGCAGTCGCCGGAGCCGCATTCAGGCCAAGCGGGTCGGACTAGGAAGCCCAGGAGGAAAAGGGTGAGTTGGGGGCTGGAGGCCATGTCCAGGGGCCAGGGTGTGCGCACAAGGCCCTCGGCCCCCTGGGTCCCCCCCCCTTCGACCCCTCCCCCCCACTCACAATGACGTCGTGCTGCCCCAAGAGCGGCATCTCCCAGAGCGACTGGTTGGTGAAGCGGTTGAAATAGTAGGGGCGGTTCTCGCGCTTGCTCCAGCACTTCTCCCAGCCAGCGTGCACCAGTTCATCTGGAGAAGGGCACAAGCACCCAGAAATAATAATAATATTATAATAATAATAATAATACACTTTATAACCCGCCGCCGTCTCCCCAAAGGGGACTCGGGGCGGCTAACATGAGGCCAAGCCCAAAATAATACAGCATAATAAATACACATTAACAAAATACATCATAACAAAATATGAAATAACAAAATCAACAATATAAAACAGCATAATAAAACCAGCGGGAAAGGCCCGCTTGAGGGGAGGGGAGCCAACAACAGGAAGTCCCTCCCCCAGAAGCCACCACCTGCGATCCTCCAACAAGCAGGCTTTCCTCCAACTGCAAAGCAAAGAGGGGGTACCTGGCAAGTCTTGCACCAGCCGGACAGGCTTCGGGGAGCTTGGCTGGTTCTGGTGGGAGGTGCTGGGAGAGTGGCTCATGAGAGCAGCCTCCTCCTTGGCAGCGCCGTGGTTCTCATTGGCCATTTCGCCGCATTTGCACTAAAGGAGGAGGAGGAGGAAGACACACAACAGGCATCACAACAGGCCCTGAGCCCTGCAACACCCGACAGGGAATAATAATAATAATAATAATAATATTCTATATAAATAAAAATGTAATGTTCATTTGTGGGATTAACATAACTCAAAAACCACTGAACGAACTGACACCAAATTTGGACACAAGACACCTAACAACCCAAGGAGTGTCCATCACCCCTAAACACACACACACACACACACAATCCCAGCGGAACAGACTTTAAAAACCCCCCAAAACACCATATATACATAGACACATGCACACATTCACACACACACACACACGTATATATATGCGCACACACAAATATACATACACATGCACACATACATATACATATACACATACATACAAACATATACACACACAAATAGGCATATAGACAAGCACACACATATACACAATATGCATGTATACATATATACACACACACATATACATATATACCTACACACACACACATATATATATGCAAACACACATATATACACAAATATATACACACACAAAGCACACATACACAGACTGGGCCACAGCAACGTGTCGCAGGGGACAGCTAGTAATAATAATAATAATAATAATAATAATAATAATAATAATAAGCTTTGTTGATATCCCGCTCCCTCTCCCCGAAGGGACTCGGGGCAGCTTACAGCAAAACAAATGAATACAGTAAATGATATAACACAAACAATAATCACGTATCAATTAATAAATGGCATAAATTACACCTGACCTAGCTTTCTTAACCATATCTCATTTAATATAATTGCACTGTAGTTAGCAGTCTACAAAGACATTATTTAAATTAGTAACTTTTGGGATTTGCCCATGTATTATTGTCATTTTTAATTTACTAGGCAAAGGTGTAAGGAATATCTACATTTAAAAAATCAGTAAGTTCTTGATACATTCAGTCTGTTGCAGACAAAAACTTGTATAATCATTTCAGCTCAATCTCAGAAACAGCAGAAGGAGAAAAACCTTGGAGAGGAAGCATGGTTTTGTCACCAACTGGGGACAGAGTCCGGCCAAAAATAAATCCCATGATAGCAAACATGATGTTTAGGTGTGCTTCCACTTTGACAACGGAACCAATTGGGGAGCCTTGAACCGGCAATCCTACATCGAAAAGGCAATTGGACTACATGTCCCATGACTCTGCCTCTAGGATTCCACCTGGAAGAGTACCAATATTTCTAGATGCATTTGTTCCATCCATATTGTATATTCTGTTCCTTATCCTTCATCTTTATCTCCATTTCTTCACCCTACTATATATCCAGCTTTTGTAGCCACACCTTCAGTTCTGGAAAAGCCCATTCCTTTCTCCTTCACATAAAACTTTATAACATGTTATAAATGTCCTTTCCTAATTGTTCTATCATTTAAAACACATGGGAAAGGTTTATGAAACTGCAAAAACTTTGTCTTTATGGGAGGGACACCCTGCGCGCCTGCAGTGCTGCCTCGTGATGGGGGGGGGGGGCAGATGCACACCCCACACGCGGACCCCAAGGCAGAAGCACCCCGGGATATGCCTCCAGTTCAGAGCATCTACTCAGCAGCCCCTGAAAACACAGCAGATAGGAATGGAAATCAAGCCTCTGCTAAAGAACTATCTGAAACAACTAAAAACATACTTAATAATATGACCAAATAAACACTCACAAAAAGACCAGTAAACGCAGGGATGTTTTTTTATTCTATAAAGAGACAAACAATAACGAACTCACAACCACCAAAGAATAGAAGGAAGTCAAACCATTTCTACTTTTGAAACTATGTCTCCCCCCCCCCCGCTTTTTTCCCCCTACCCTATCCTCTGTATCTGTTGCAGCTGCTCATTTCCTATTTTTCTATCTTCTTCATAATATTCCCCCATTTTCCTTGTTATAAAATACCCGTTTTCAATAAAAATTAATTGCAAAAGAAAAGGAAACCAAGCCTCGGTCGCTCTCCATGCTGGGCTTTGGGGTCTTGACCTGAGATCCCACCTCTCTGTGCAACCATTCATTCACATGCAAACCAGGCACATGGGAAAGAGGGCACAAGCAGCACATGAAACACAATTAATTAATGGTTTACTGTACGAGCCACATGCCAAGACATAAAATATACAGCCTTTAAAAGTACAATAAGCACTTTCCAAGATCAATATTAAAACTTGTTCCATATACGGGCCCTTTAAAATGATAAATGACAGCAATGCAATGGAAGGGCTGGAGAGGCGCCGGTCCCCATTCCCAGGTGGGCTTCCCTGGATCAGGGCGCACCGCCTGCCCTCTCCCGTCTCATCACTTCGCCTGCCAAGGTGCCTGGAGCCTCACCATGGCATCCTTTGCTGCCTCTCAGCTGCCACAGACCCCTTTCCACTGAGGAGTGGGTCAGCCGAGGCCTTTCTCTTCAGACCCCTCTGTCCTGCACTGAAGCGAAGGCAGGAAGATTGGCTACAGACAGAAAAACCTGCCTTCCTGAGCCACACAAACCAGGTCCCAAGGTGCAGGTGAGAACCACCCGCTGTCCCACATGACCCCCCCCCCCCAAAAAAAAACACAAATGTCAGAACAGCTCCTGCCCTTGGCTTCCCACAATCCTCCACAGAATTGTGATTCAAGACCAGGGATTCCCAGAATCCCTAGCATTTGGCCAAGCGGGCTGCAGGGGCTTCTGGGAGTCCCCAAAATGGGGAGGACCCGTTTGGGAACCACTGCGCTAGAAAACAGAAAAGAGCTTCTCTTGCAGCGGAGTCCTTCCCGTCACTTCCAACAACAACAGGGAAATGGGGCCTCATCTTAAGTTGCGCAAACGCTGTGCTCATCTGGTGTCCCCTGGTATCTCCACCCGGAAAGGAGAAAGGGCCTGTTTTCTGCTGAGTCCCCGGGTTGGGGCCCCACGCTCCCTACTTTACCGGCCCCACCCCACCCTTCGTGCTGCTGCCAGAAACATAATGGTTTCCACAAAGGGTTGTTCTATGTTTTTTCAGTTCTATATGGCCATGTTCTAGAGGCATTCTCTCCTGACGTTTCACCTGCATCTAGGGCAAGCATCCTCAGAGGTTGTGAGGTTGTGGGGATGCTTGCCATAGATGCAGGCGAAACGTCAGGAGAGAATGCCTCTAGAACATGGCCATATAGAACTGAAAAAACATAGAACAACCCAGTGGGTCTGGCCATGAAAGCCTTCGACAATACAAATTTCCACAGAGGTTCCTATGTCAATGGCAAGAGACCCGAGCCACTGCCACGCTCTGTGAGAAAGAAGTCCTGGGGTTTATTTATTATTTATTTTATATAAAACATTTATATTCCGCCCTTCTCACCACGAAAGGGACTCAGGGTGGAGCGCAATATGCGGCAAGCATTCCATGCCGGAACATAAAATAAACTATAAACATATTGCCGAAGGCTTTCATGGCCAGAATCACTGGGTTGTTGTAGGTTTTTCGGGCTATATGGTCATGTTCTAGAGGCATTCTCTCCTGACGTTTCGCCTGCATCTATGGCAAGCATCCTCAGAGGTAGTGAGGTCTGTTGGAACTAGGCAAAAGGGTTTATATATCTGTGGAATGACCAGGTGAGACAAAGGACTCTTCTCTGCTGGAGCTAGGTGTGAATGTTTCAACTGATCACCTTGATTAGCATTTGACTAATCAAGGTGGTCAGTTGAAACATTCACATCTAGCTCCAGCAGACAAGAGTCCTTTGTCCTACCCTGGTCATTCCACAGATAAATAAACCCATTTCCCTACTTCCAACAGACCTCACTACCTCTGAGGATGCTTGCCATAGATGCAGGCGAAACGTCAGGAGAAAAATTGCCTCTAGAACATGGCCATATAGCCCGGAAAAACCTACAACAACCCAGTGATTCCAAAATATAAATCAGTTATCTCCACGTTAAAATCAACTGCTTCCTAGTCTCTCCACCTGGAAAGGAAAAGGGGCGAGTCTTCCGCTGTGTCCCTGGGGGGGGGGGGGCACTCTCCCTGCTTTCCCAGCCCTGCCCCGCCCTTGGTGCGGCTGCCAGAAACACACTGGTTCCCACAGAGGTTCCTCTTTCAATGGCAAGAGACCTGAGCCACTCCCACGCTCTCTGGGAAAGAAGTCCTGCCTGAGGTGCCTCCTTGATGCCAGGAGAAGGGAAGGAGGAAGAACGAGGCCACTCGGAAGGAGAGCCAAAATATCTCTGCCCCTCTTCCCCTCCCTCCAATCAAGGTGAGCCTCAGGACTGGCCAGCCTCACATGGGTTCCACAGCACGACCTTCAAAAGCCACGTGAAGTATGGCTTCCGCCTGAGGGAGCTGACGGCCCCGAAGTGACAGGCACGGCTCTTCCTGCTTTCTCCTCCTCCTCAGGAGATCTTGGAGGGAAAGGACCGGCAAGGGGCACCGCAGACAGAAGACCGGAGCTACAATGGGACCGGATTATCATGGTGCGGGCGGGGGCCTTTCATGATACTCCAAGGACTCCTCCATCACTACAGATGCTAACCACATCCCGTGCCACAGCAGGAGCAAAGGTGGCCCTCCAGCTTCTGAAACTCCCTTTTTAAAGAGCCACGGACCTCAGGGTTCCTTAGGAGAAGACAGGGTGGCTTCTCAACTACTTGAGTGGGCCCTCCCTCCCTCCGGGTGTTTTGGACTTCAACTCCCACAATTCCTAACAGCTGTTGAAGTCCAAAACACTTGGAGGGATGGAATTTGCCCTTTCCTCGCCTTGAGGGATGTGCCTTATTATTTGGTCTGCTCATCAGGCTTGGAAGGTGGACAAACCCCTCTCCACTCCCACTCTGAATAGACTCAGAAGCGGAGTGGGCAGATCAAAAGACAACCTGACAAAATGGCACAACCTAAAAGAATCCCACACCTTGTGTGACTGTGGAGCAGAACAGACAACTCTGCATCTGTATGCTTGCCCGCTACGCCCTGCCTCATGTACAGAGGAGGGATTGTTGGAGGCTACAGACAATGCTGTTGCTGTTGCCCGTTTTTGGTCAAAAGATATTATATTTTTATCACTTTATATTAATTTATGCAATGCTTTTGATACAAAATAAATAAATAACCCCCACTCTTTCTGTTGGCAGGAAGGAAAACCAGAACACTAGTGAACTCCGTGGAGCGCAGCATAAACACTGCCCAGTTTAATCAAACAAGGAGGGGGGGGGGCTGAACACAGAGGCTAGCACAGCACAGCAAGCATCCAACGCTTTCCAGAGACTACAGGCAGTGTGAAAGGCAAGGCATTGCAAAGCGTGTGCATTTTTGTAGAAACAGGAGCAGATACCCACAGGGCGAGGTGCTGTTGAAGAGCTTGGAGATTAGTCTTCTCTGTGGGGCGGGGAAGGGGGCAGAGGGGCTCGGCAGCGGCCCCAAGCAGGCCCCCAACCCCTCGCAGTCCTACTTGCTCCAGAGGCCGGCGGATGGGATCCAGGCAGCCCAGCTCTGTCTCTCGGAGGGAGGAGGAAGGCCAGGGCCTCATGCCAACTGGGGGCTCAGCCGGAGTAGGCGCAGGGCTGCAAAAGGGAAAAAAGGAAGGAAGGTAGGAAAGAAGGGGTTGTCAGGGCCATCTGCCAAGGGTGCTTTGATTGTGCTATTCCTGCATGGCAGAAGGGTTGGACTAGATGGCCCGTTTGGTCTCTTTCAACTCTGTTATCATTCTATGATTCATCCAGGTCAAATGGGAGCAACAGAAGAGGTTCCTGAAGCTTTGTGGTCCCATGGGGTCCACAATAATATATTATTCATAGAATCAAAGAGTTGGAAGAGACCTCCTGGGCCATCCAGTCCAACCCCATTCTGCCAAGAAGCAGGAACATTGCATTCAAATCACCCCCGGCAGACGGCCATACAGCCTTTGCTTCAAAGCCTCCAAAGAACAAGCCTCCACTGCTGAATGGGTCTCACAGTCAGGAAGTTCTTCCTAATGTCCAGGTGGAATCTCCTTTCTTGTAGTTTGAAGCCGTTGTTCCATTGCGTCCTAGTCTCCAGGGACTAGAAAGGAGATTCCATCTGAACATGAGGAAGAACTTCCTGACTGTGAGAGCCGTTCAGCAGTGGAACTCTCTGCCCCTTGAGAGTGTGGTGGAGGCTCCTTCTTTGGAAGCTTTGAAACAGAGGCTGGATGGCCATCTGTCAGGGGTGCTTTGAATGCAATATTCCTGCTTCTTGGCAGAATGGGGTTGGACTGGATGGCCCAGGAGGTCTCTTCCAACTCTTTGATTCTATGATTCTATAGAACTTCCTGACTGTGAGAGCTGTTCAGCAGTGGAACTCTCTGCCCCGGAGGGAGTGTGGTGGAGGCTCCTCCTTTGGAAGCTTTTAAACAGAGGCTGGATGGCCATCTGTCAGGGGTGCTTTGAATGCAATATTCCTGCTTCTTGGCAGAATGGGGTTGGACTGGATGGCCCATGAGGTCTCTTCCAACTCTTTGATTCTATGATTATGGGATGTAGATCCTATGGGAGAGCCGTTCAGCAGTGGAACTCTCTGCCCCGGAGTGTAGTGGAGGCTCCTTCTTTGGAAGCTTTTAAACAGAGGCTGGATGGACATCTGTCAGGGGTGATTTGAATGCAATATTGCTTCTTGGCAGAATGGGGTTGGACTGGATGAGGGCCCAGGAGGTCTCTTCCAACTCTTGGATTCTAGGATTCTGAAGCAGAGAACAAGCTTGCTCCCTCCTCCCTGTGGCTTCCTCTCACATATTTATACATTTATACATATTTATACATTATTATATTATATTCTTAGTTTAAATTTGTATATTAAATACAATTACTGTATTAGTATATTGTACTATATACAATGATTATATTATTATACCACAAAATATATAATACACTACCAGCATATTATACTATTAGTATTATATAATATAATGTACTATATCATAAGTTGTATGTATTACAACTAATATTAGATATGTGGCACCAGTCTGTCCACCCTTGACGAGGCACTGAACTTTGCTTCTGGTTGTTTGGTTCTGATGTTGTTTTAGATACTGTTCAATGTTGTTGTTTATTTTGTTTTCGTTTTTTGTTATCACCTTGTTGATATGCATTATTATCATCATCATCTGGGCGTCCCCTGGGCAACGTCCTTGCAGACGGCCAATTCTCTCACACCAGAAGCGACTTGCAGTTTCTCAAGTCGCTCCTGACAGGACAAAAATTATTATTATTATTATTATTATTATTATTATTAATCTCGGCCACATCAGGGGCGTGGCCTGCTTTGGCTTCAACCTCAAAGGATGGGAGGCCTGGGAGAGCCCTTGCAAAATAGAAGGGAGGCGTGTTGGGCCTGCGAGGGGCAGGTGTGTCAACTGACCACCTTGATTAGCATTTGATGGCCTGGCAGTGCCTGGGGCAATCTTTTGTTGAGAGGTGATTAGAGGTCCTTGTTTGTTTCCTCTCTGTTGTTTTGCTGTTGTAATTTTAGAGTTTTTTTAATACTGGTAGCTAGATTTTGTTCATTTTCATGGTCTCCTCCTTTATTTATTTATATTTATTTATTATTAATCTTGCCCACATTGGGGGCGAGGCCTGCTTTTGGGAAGGAAGGAGCCCTGGGAGAGGTCTTTCGAAATAGAAGGGAGGCGTGCTCGGCCTGCGAGGGGGGGACCACCTTCATTAGCATTGAAAGGCCTGGCTGAGCCTGGGGCAATCTTTTGTTGAGAGGTGATTAGATGTCCTTGTTTGTTTCCTCTCTGTTGGATGTGCTGTTGCAATTTTAGAGTTTTTTAATAATAAAGATTGCCCCAGGCACTGCCAGTCCATTATATTACTATTCCCACCTAGCTCCAGCAGACAAGAGCCTTTTGTCCCACTCTGGACATCATTCCACAGATATATAAACCCTTTTTTTTCGTCGGGCTGTATGGCCATGGTCTAGAGGCATTTTCTCCTGACGTATTGCCTGCATCTATGGCAAGGATCCTCAGAGATAGTGAGGTCTGTTGGAACTAGGAAAATGGGTTTATATATCTGTGGAATGATGACCAGGGTGAGACAAAGGGCTCTTCTCTGCTGGAGCTAGGTGTGAATGATTGTATATGTGTTTTATGCTTTTAAATTGAATATTGTTTTTTAATTGTTGTAAACCGCAATGAGTTGCCGATTTAGGCTGAGATATTAGCGGTATACAAGTGTATAAATAAATAAATAAATAAATAAAAAGGCACCAGGTAAACAACCCACTATTATTATTATTATCATTATCATTATTATTATTTATTATCTCAGGCACATCGGGGGCGAGGCCTGCTTTGGCTTCAGCCTCAAGGGATGGGAGGAAGGCTTTTAAAATAGAAGGGAGGCGTGCTGGGCCTGCGAGTGCGCGGGGATGGATGGTGAGGGGAGGAGCCGAGGCCTAGGCTGGGCCTGCCTTGCCTTGCCTGCCTGCCTGCCTGGGCGCCGCGAGGGCGGAGGCGGGGATCCGCGGCGCCATTGGCTGGGCCTCCCTGCGAGGGCTGGGCCTGCCTCCCTCCCTCTTTCCATCCCTCCCTCCGCCTCGGAATGCGGGCCATTGGCTCGGGCTCCGCGGCCGAGAGAGGAAGGCTGGAGAGAGAGAGAAGAAAGGAAACGCAGCGCGGAACCAAAACAAACGCGGAACCCAAAGACGCGGCCGGTGGGTCCGGGGGGCAGCCTTGAGGGGCGCGCTCCTTCTCTGCAGCCATGGCAACCGAGGGAGGAGGGAGGGAGGGGGAGTAGAGAGGGAAGGAGGGGGCGCGCTCCCGCGGGCGACGCGGACGAGCGCGGCTGGGCCAAGATGGCGGCGGCGGCAGAAGAGGAGGAGGCGCCTCCCTCTCCGCACAGCCGCCCACTCTCCGCTCCCCACTCCCCGCGAGAGAGGGGCCTCTCCCTCCCCCCGCGGACGCCCCCGCGGGCCCCGGCCTCACCTTCCTCCCCCGCGCGGGCCTTCCCGCCGCCATCGCGCCTCCGCCGCCGCCTCACCCTGGCAGCCTCCGCCGCCATCTTGTGTTCGGGACCCGCGCCGAGCACTGCGCAGGCGCCGGGCAGGCCACGCCCACACGCCCTGCGGCGGGTCGGCCGGGCTCGCGCAGGCGTAGTCGGCGCCCTCCTGCGCTGCGGCAGGGAGGGCGCCGACTACGCCTGCGCGAGCCCGGCCGACCCGCCGTCATAGGATCCCGCAGCGAAGACACTGCGCATGTCCATCCCCGCTGCGAAGAAAAAGAAGGCGGCCCTCGCTGTGAGGACTGACTGCGCATGTCCCTACTGGGAAAGCCCCTGGCCTGAGTCTCCCCTGCCGTGCGCATGCGCGTATCGGGAGCGTCTGGGAACCGGGTTCGAGGCTGGCTTGGCACCACCCAGTCAACTAAAACCTACATTAGAATATAATTGAATATAAAGTACATTAGAATATAATTTAATATAAATATAAAGTATAATTAAACTTGGATTTAGGTGGTTTTTGAATTGCGATTCAATGCAGTAATGACTTAGGATGGTAAGTAATCACTGCATTAGACAGTAATTATTTATTTTTATATAATTTAATATAAATATAAAGTATAATTAAACTTGGATTTAGGTGGTTTTTGAATTGCGATTCAATGCAGTAATGACTTAGGATGGTAAGTAATCACTGCATTAGACAGTAATTATTTATTTTTCATTCTAAGTCATTATAATTAATTACTTAAAATTATAAGTAATAATTAATTATCATTAAAATAATTAAAAAATAAATAATTACTGTCTAATGCAGTGATTGCTTATAATTGCAATAATTCTAAGTAATTATAATTAATTACTTATGATTATAAGTAATTATTGCAATTATAAGTTATCTCTGCGTTAGACAGTAATTTATTTTTAATTCTAAGTCATTATAATTACTTATGATTGTAAGTAATTATTGCAATTATAAGTAATCACTGCGATAGACTATTTTTAATTCTAAGTAATTATAATTACTTATAAGTAATTATTGCAGTAATTATAAGTAATTATTGCAATTACTAATTAATAATATAGGAGCCCCCAGTGGTTCAATGAGTTAAGCCCTTAAGGATGTCATTTATTTATTTTTATTTTATTTATATATCAGTAATTATAATTTATTTATATAACAGTAATTATAAGTAATTATTGCAATTACTAATTAATAATATAGGAACCCCCAGTGATTCAATGGGTTAAGCCCTTAAGGATGTCATTTATTTATTTATATTTATATAATGGTAGGTTACATACCTGTGACCATGACGGCACCGAGAACTTTCACCAAATGCATGTCGGTGGTCGCAGCAGCCCTCAGAAGGGAAAAAATCCACATTTTCCCATACCTAGACGACTGGTTGTTGGCAGCACGCTCCCCAGACCTCCTGCAAACGCAGGTGGCAAGGACGCTTTCCCTTCTCGAAGACCTGGGCCTCCAGCTGAAACGAGGAGAAATCTCATCTCGAGCCCACCACTTGCATAAAGTTCATCGGCGCCATGTTCGATTCTCTCTCCCAGTCAGTTTTCCTTCCGGAAGAGAGGTTCAGGGCCCTTCGAGCCGAAGCGCTCAAAGTGCGTCGAGCCCGAGTGGTCCCGGCGAAGCAGATTCAGGTCCTCCTCGGGCATATGGCCTCCACGGTGATGGTGACACCATTGGCGAGACTCCGCTTCCGTCCCCTCCAGAGATGGTTTCTGGACCACTTCAACCCCATGCGGGACAGTGCTGCGAAGCGCTTGCTGATACCGAAGTCGGTAAAGGACTCCCTAAACTGGTGGATGAATCGCCAGCATGTCTGCAGAGGCGTTCCATTCCACCCAGAACCCCCGTCCGTCACGATCACGACGGACGCCTCGATGTTCGCATGGGGATGCCATACAGGAGAACTCTCGGTCCACGACCTCTGGTCTCCACAGGAAAGACAGTACCATATAAATTACTTGGAACTGCTGGCAATCTTCAAAGCCCTGAGAGCATTTGCCCTCCTCGTCACGGGGAAGTCTGTCCAGATCCTCACGGACAACATGGTGGCGATGTTCTACGTGAACAAACAGGGAGGAACGGGCTCGAGAAAACTTCTTAAGCTGTCACTAGAACTTTGGGACTGGTGTGTAGCCAGGTCGGTGTCGATAACAGCTTTACACCTCCCGGGCGAGATCAATGTCGAGGCGGACGCGCTCAGCAGAACCAGGGCAACCTCTCACGAATGGAGGCTGAACCCCGACGAACTGGCCAAGATCTTCAGGGACTGGGGCCTCCCAGCCGCAGACCTCTTCGCGTCGCCGCAAAACGCTCAGCTCCCGCAGTTCGGTGCTCGGCTTGCTCCGAACACGGTACCGGGGTGTCTCGGAGACGCGTTCCTGTTGGACTGGTCGAGCATCTGCTCTACCTCTTCCCTCCCTTCCCGCTCATCCCGAGGGTGATCGAGAGAATCCAGTCGGCGCAAACGAACTGCATCTTGATAGCGCCGGAGTGGCCACGACAACCGTGGTTCTCGGTCCTTCTCCAGTTATCCGAGGGACGGATGAGGTGCCTTCCACTTCGGCAGGATCTACTCTCCCGGGAAGACGGTCAACTTCTCCACCCCGACCTCGCTTCTCTGCATCTTTCGGCGTGGAGGATCCAATCTTGAGGTCCCTGTGCCCAGGAGTTCTTCCGATCCTGGAGGCAGCTCACAAGCCAGTGACCAAAAAATGCTACTCAGCGTGCCTTAACCGCTTCCAGGCCTTCCTCTCCGAGAAGGGCCTAGACGATCATCGACCGTCGGTACCGTCAATTCTCTCGTTCTTGCTGCACCTTACCGAACGGGGTCTGTCGCTGTCATCACTCAAGTCTCATCTGGCAGCCATCTCCTGGCAGCTTCAACGAAGAGGGGAAGCCTCTATGTTTAAGGACAGCTCGGTGAAGTCCTTCCTACGGGGATTCAACAACCTGCACCCCCCAGTCTGCTCCCCGACTCCGGGATGGGACCTCGACCTTGTGCTAGCTCGGCTCGCACAAGCGCCCTTTGAACCGTTGGCATCGATTGACCTTCGACTCCTGTCATGGAAGGTGGCCTTTCTTGTCGCTATCACCTCGGCCCGTAGGCCCTCGGAACTTGCGGCACTGCGTGTGGACGAACCGTATTTTGTTGTCCACGAGGACAGGGCAGTCCTCCGCACGGACGTGTCATTCCTCCCTAAGATTGTGTCCCCTTTCCATGTTAACGAAGACATTGTCCTCCCTTCGTTTTTCCAATCTCCCTCGACCCCGACGGAGAAAGAGACTTCATATGCTCGATGTGCGGAGAGCATTACTGTGTTATAGGGACAGAACTGCTCAGTCTCGGAGCAGAGACTTTTTGTTGCATATGCCCTCGATAAGGTGGGCCTGCCGATCACGGCGCAACGTTTGTCGCACTGGATCACCTCGACCATCGAGCTTTGTTACCAGCTGGCTCGACAACAACCCCCCTCGGTTGTCCGGGCTCGGTCAACCAGGGCTATGGCGGCATCGACAGCCTTCCTTAAAGGGATTCCCCTGGACGCTATTTGCAAAGCGGCCATTTGGAAGAATCCTCAGACATTTGTCTCACATTATAGACTGAATACCAGGTGTACACCTGACATGGCCTTTGGGAGGGCAATTCTGGGGTCGTGTCCGCCTTAAACTGTGCAAAGTTTGCTTGTATTTTACCGGTATCGGGAGCTTCTTCGGTACCATATTTTGTTGTGAATGTTGTTACCATGTTTTTTACTTGAATTCAACTGTTTACCGGTGCTGGTGAATGTAATTGCACCTTTACACTTGATGCCTTCACTGCCTGAGGCGCAGGCAACTCTGCACTATAGCCTAATGGGCTCGTTACGGGTAGTACTTTGTGTCACTATCGACACCTTGTTTCTTACAAATGTGTTTTGCAC